TTATTAAATTCAAATTTCAGACAATGTAATTGAAAAGTTATTACTTATGCAATTATACTAATTAATGAATTCGTTCGATACTTCCCACCTTCAACTTCTGACCTTTCAAATACTTTTTAATAAAAAATTAGTCGAATAAAAATTGGTCAAATTACAGTCAAATAAAAAACTTTCAATTCTTTCATTCATTATTTCAATCAGGTCAAAGAGTTAATTTCAAGATCAATTATGTCAATATCAAATTGAACTTGACTGATTTACCATAAAAACTTTTACTGCTTTAATCAAAAGTAAAACTTTGATATGATAATGTATTCATGAAAATATTAACATACAAAGCTGCTGATTGCATAAATTAAAACTTTATTATTCATTATTTTTATCGGTTATTCAGGGATACTTTTTCAGAGCATCGGTTCTCACTCACTGCTTTGTATTTTTTAGCTTCAAAAATATCACAGACACTTTAAAAATACAAATGATATATAATAATTACAACTTACAACATTGATCACAAAATACAGTTATTTCATTTCCAAATCAATAAAATCAGTAAAGTGAATGAAGTAATTCTAATTTGTTTAGAAAAGAACAAAATTAGCATAAAAAGTATTGCTTGAACTTATCTTTGACACAAATGGAATGTAGATTGAAGTGGAAGATAATAGCTTGCTTGATCTTATTTACATTGCAATTTAACCTTTATGTAAATAATGTGCTTTGCATATGCCTTCAGCTTATAATATATTTATTAGTAACGAAAGAAAAGGAATGTAAAAGCCTTCAAAGAAATTTGGAGTAAACATTTAGGTAAATGAAAATGAATAATAAGTAAGGTAAACAGTAAGTTAAGACTTTGTACCGAAGAAAACAGTACAGACCTAATTTAATTAGTTGACATATCAGAAATAATTTAATTTGTTCAGTGAGGGAATCACAGCAAATATCATTATGATTTAAAAAAAGCAAAGACATTGAAAAAATTCAAACTTGAAATGATTTTGAAGTGGAATGAAGTCAAAAGAATTCTTCAAAATTCTTTTATATCAATCAAAAGTTGATTAAAAGTAACAGTAATTTATCAGAAACTTGTTATTTGAATTATTGAAATAATAATAACAATAATAATAACAATAATAATAATAATAATAATGATAAAGTATTTTCATAATAGACAAAATGAGCTCCAAAATTGATAACAAATCAACCATAAATTTCTTTGATATTTATGCATAATGATTTAATTCAATGATATTTCTATTCTTTGATGATAAATTAGTGATAAATTTTTGAATCTTAGCTAAATGCTGCAATTTTAAACATTACTTGCCATGTAATTGAGAATAATTTTAAAAGTAGTCAAATATTACTGTAATCTTTTGTTTTTTTTTTTGTGCAAATTAAACATCCAAAATGCAAGCTTTAATTAGTTTTAGATTTTTTAGCTTACTAAAAAAAAGAGTGATTTTCATTAGTAATATAAAATTTATGTATTTGATAAATTTCAAATTAATTAGCAAAGAGCAATTTTTAATTACTCACACTAAAATATTAAATGAATTCGAGTAAATACTTTTTAATACTTTAGTGAGTCATACGTTTAAGTTCGATGCAAAAATTAAAAGTTAATACGTTGGCGAAGAA